GCTGTTGTGGCTCTCTTGAAAAGTTTGGAGACTCCTGATAAACAGTATTCCTATTTTGAACTGTAATGGTAAGTTATCTTTCTAGAATTCCAACCGTCAGTATGTAGACTAAATTTTAATTAAACTTTTAGATAGTCTATAAGTAGGAATACTGCTAATTAATTTTTGGGTGAGAACTTAAAAATATTATTATATTGAGGACAGTGGCGTAGCTAGGGTTCTCCGAGCCCGATGCGAAACCAGATTTGTGGGCCCCTGTAAACGGACTAAAATATTTTAGTGTAGTGGTTTATGTACTGTATAATTAGATTAGAATTGAGTTGATATTTTCCTTTGTAATAGGGAATCCAGCAGCTCGAGCAGCCAAATGCCAAATTTTGCTTTGTTCTGATTGCCGTGAAAATTTTTTGATCCTTTCTTTTTCCTGTGATTTTGAGGGCCCCATGAGCCTATGGCTATCACGAACACAAATATATAAAAGGCACTTCACATCACTTGCAAAAAAATTGAATAATTAAATAATTCCCGAATTAAAATTGTTTGTTTCTTTCTAGTGTTACTCATAAATGCTTAAATAATCATTTTAATACGTCATAATTTTAACCCAAAACACAGAAAAATGCAGACGTTTAAGCCGAACTTCTACTCGCCACGCTCGACGTTCCAAACGCCATTGTCAAACTCCTAGGCTTACAAGATGGCGGCGTTAACGTTTTAGAGATGAAAACTTCGGCCGCAATCTCTCTACTAACTATACTTACTACTGTAAACTCTGATACCTTCTTTATAATAATTAAATCAAATCTAGAAAATAGCTAAATTAGCGATGAAACAATTTAGACTTGTATCATCTAATTGCCTAAATCTCAAATCTAGGGGCAAACAAAACAAACTGGACTTAGATGAGAAAAATAGATTCTAAAGTGACAATCCTGCCCAACACGTGGTATAAAGTTCAATGTTTTAACTTAAAATGGCTGTCGATAGTACCCGTCGTTGCCACTAAGAGCGATGTATCTAAAGTCACTCATACTATGTAGTATAGTGAAGCTCGCTGATTGTACCTATGTAAGTACACGTGTTTGTAACTACGGTTTTCAATTTCCACCGCAAGAGTGCGTTTTACCGTAGCGCCATCTGATTTCGGTGGTTAATATACATACTACATGTAGGTAGAATAAAATTCTCTCCAGGATGGAAGCATTTTATTTTAGCTTGATCAAAATTTCAGTTATGTCTTTTTAATTATTAAAACACGAAAGTTACAAATTAAAAAATTTGTGTAAGTGATTGATAATTTAATTATCATTTAGCAAATTTAGGACTTTAACGACGTAGCAAAAAAATAATTCTTTGTTAATCCGTAGATTCAACAATAGAATCAACAACATTGTTGTTTTTGAAGGTGCAACTCGCAATACTGGAATTTAAACGAATTCACATTTTATTAAAAATCTAAAAATATACGCAGCATCCGGACAAAATACGAGAATCTTCGCATACTTGAATGCTTGCCTCTACCGAGCCTTAAGATATTTATCGGATATGTTTAAACGTTTTTAGCAGTGGCGTGTCGTCATGGGCGTAGCCAGAGTTTTGTAATGGGGGGCCTAGTGGAGGCCAACCTGACACAAAATTGAATTATTTCAAATTATTGTTCATTATTGGGCACCGAGCAAGCCGTTCACCTTTTTTTAGTATTCAAAACTTTTATTTTAGCTTTAGGTTTTTACAAATCGACTCAACACTTTTTCGGCTGTGATTTCCTGGGGAGGGCACCAGGTTCCCTGGGAGGAGCCGTGCCCACCCAGGCTCCCCCTCGCTACGCCCATGCGTGTCGTGACATTTGATGATAGGGAAGCCGTGTTTCTGTAAAAAGCCGACTTCCAGGGGCAATCAGTTAATTGCGCGTCAATGACTGTCTAGGCCCTCTAGAGTCCATTCGTATTCGTTTGTTCGATAAACTAGCAAAAACCGTACACTTCTCTAAATGTATTTTTAATAGATTATCTGACGTACTTAAAAATAAACAAGTTCAATATACAGTAGAGCGTCGTTTATCCGAATCAATTGGGGACTGGGGTTGGAATTGGGATAACCGATTACATACAAAAAACATTAACCTATCCCATGTTGAAATTTTTCTCCGTTGCGTGTCGCTTCGCGTTGAATTTTCGTCGATGTTAAGCCTAATGTAAACTTTTTAAAATAATAATCGTGGCTATTGTATCGTTAAAAATTATTTCTTTATTTTTTACAAACGAAATAAATATTTTGAAAAATATAAAAACAAAAAAAAATTATACTTTAGAAGTTGATCTAGTATCAAAAACGTTCGATTCAGCATGACACACAGTCCTCAGAAAAACACCACACAAAAGTGTCAGTGCTGCCAGCTAAAACACACACATCATCAAAAAAAATATTGGAGTAGCCCAAGATATAGCCACAAATTGCAGCGCTACAGCACTAGCGAAAATTTAAATTTGCCGACTGGAATTCTTTCGGATAAACGATGTTCTACTGTAATTACCTCTGTTATTAGATTCAATAGCTTTCCTATTCCCTCTAAATGCCAATTCTTGCTTTGATAAAAAAAACATATTTATTAATTTAGATATAATAGCCGTAACCATCTCGTTATAATTCTCAATATTTATATTATTTACTAATTTGAATAGATTGTTCGTCATTTGTTTTCTAACTAATTCGTTGTACGACCAGGTGATGTCCACGAAAATTTCCAAAATTTACAACTTTTCAGTCACTCTCATTGAACTGGAAACATTTCTGTCTTTATTACATCTAATACTGTATTACGAAGAGATCAGTCCCCACTGTACTCGGCTAGGGATTGGTTCGGTTAAGCTTTTAAGTAACATTCCAGGGTTTTATTTATGTCTCTAATAATCTCTTAATTATTTAACTACTTGTTACCTTCATTAGATTTAGTTGTAATGATGCTACCAAAGATACATAATGCGGTTATAATAAAATATTAATTTTAATTAATCCAAAATTCGTTAAAATATGAAAATAATCGCGCAATATGTATTTATTTTTTAGAAAATACAAGGGAACAGGAGCTTCCAATGATGGCACGGCACTGGTTTTTAGATACTGTGTATAAGGTCTGTCCCAAAAGTTTAGGTAAAATGATTTTTCTTGAATAATTTTTAAAATACTGAACTTTCGATTGTTGTATTGCGATCTCATTTCACTCATTAAATCACATTATTAAATTTATTTTTATAATGATATTTAATTTCATAGTTATTAAGTTTCTTACAAAAATAGAAATTTTGCTAAACATTGTTGTCCAAAGTTTAGGTAAATTTCAAAAATTACATCGAAAAAAAAAAAACATTTTTAATGGCTAATTGTACTTTCATTATTTTTAATAACATCAAAAACACGATTTGGCATTGAATTCACAAGAGTTTGTAACAATTCTGGTTTCAAGTTATACCATGAATCCTCAATTGCGCATTTAAGTCGTTTAACATTGGAAAACTGACCACCTGTCTTGTCACGATCCCCTATAAGTTTTCTATTGTGTTTAGATCAGGACTTCTTGCGGGCCATTTCATAACATTCTCGTTTTGATTCTGAAGCCATTTTTTGGTTGAATTTGAACAATAAATGGGAGCGTTGTCCTGTTGAAATGTCCAATTTGGACCACCTATCATTTCTGCTATAGGAAGATGTCGTTCTAAGGTGTTTAGAGAGCCATCATCTTGTTCTCTGCTGTCTTTTTATTCTGTCTTTTTTTCTCAGATCATGCCAGTAGTAATTCCAGCCATCAAAGTTCCACTTTTTTCATCACCGAAGAGTGTACTTAATCATTCGTGTTTCCACTACATGTAGCTTTTGGCCCATTCCAATCTTGCTTTAAGATGTTCAGGTTTGAGAGGCGGTTTTTTTACACATCCTTGTTAGTTTGATATAAGGATTTTTACTTATTATCCTGTGCACAGTATTTTTAGAAATATTTAAATCAGACTGTCTTAAAACTTGTCTAACTGATAAATTTTGTCTAGATACCAGTCTAATAATACATCTGTCATCTGTGGATAGGTGGACCCAGGGCCGGCCTTCTCTATAAAGAGGCCCGGGTGCAAGAAACTACTTGGGCCCTACATTTTTTGTAAAATAAAAAAAATTACAAACACGAACATATATTAATGCATGTTTATTTAAAGCGTGATTTTGTTCTTGCTAATACATGAATTACTTCAGGAAAATTATAATTTTTGCAATTTCTTTTTCGATGCTTAATATAGCAAATGCATTAAGCGTTCTGCACACATGCTGGATCGAAGATAATTCTTTNAAAAAATGCCCAATTTGCTCTATACGAATTGTAGTACAAATTTGGTTCTTTGCTACTGATAATTTTTTGTTTTTTCATTGTTCAAACAGAAATCCTGACTTTCACGTCTGACTGGTACTAGCGTAAACGTTTTAGAGATGAAAACTTCGGCTGCAACCTCTCTTACACGAGTCTCTGTATAACTCATATAGATTGATGCAGGGCCGGCCATCGGGGGGGTGCGGCGGATGCTGTGCACCGGGGCCCCGCGATTGAGGGGGCCCTAACATTGTCAAGAATGCACAAGAAAACTCGACAATATTCCTATCGTTGTCAGTATGACGAAAAGTACATTTTATCGTAAACATTATTATCGTAATCTCTGAATTTCGACAATCTTCAAACTAATTCTCGGTGATGCGAATGTTTAGAGAATCAGAGGAATTTTACACTCTACATAATCTATACATAATGCCCGTTTATTGTTCATACTATATACAATCGGTTCAATTAACATATCAATTGTCTGCCCGGTTACCCTTATTCCTGAGAGAGAGAGCTCACATGTATTTCGCGCGAGGATAAATATCTTGTTTTAAATCGTCGATTAGTCGTTTTCGTCCTCGAGTCTCTAGACTTCTCAAAGTTCTTTCGAACGTTGATATGCTTTTTCCCAGTTGCACAAAGTTCTTTCGAACGTTGATATGCTTTTTCCCAGTTGCACAAAGTTCTTTCGAACGTTGTTGGGCGTAGTCCTTCCGAACAGCGGCGATTAGATGAGTTCCGGGTAGCGGCTAATCCGTTCACGTAAAATTCCCAGTGCACCAATTTCCAGAGACTGACTCTTACGTATCGACCCCTCCTTTTTATAAACGGGGTCTCGTTGGGTTTTTTCCACTGCCTTATTAGGACTGTTTTCTTCACCACTGACCAATAGCCTTTTTCGAGATTTCGGGTGACACATTCGATGTATCATACTTGACAAGGAACTAAGTTCGTGGGAAAAGATTTTTATGTTCGTTTTTTATATCGGTTTGAAATTTATTTCTTTACACTTTTCCTCCCTCAACAAAAAATTATTTAACAATTTATTCCCTAAATTCGACTCTCACACTGTTGCTCTATCTTAAAATTAAATTATTTTGATAATTTTATTCTTGATTTGAATCGACGTATTAATGTAAGCTCTTATAAGGTTTGGTATAAGCACTTAAACAAATCTTTTTTTGACTGTTCGATTTATAATAACAATTTTTCTTTCAATATTAGCTCTACGTAATGCAAATCAGATGTAACTCTCTTAATTTTTTGCAGAATTATTGCAGAGAAATTTGCATGTATTGTTAGGATGATCATCTAGTGGATGCTTTACATGTCATAGCTAAGTGTACTAATTTAGAAAAAATTTGGGAAAGTGTTTTTGGTGTATCTATTATTCCATTTGAGAATTTTTTGGACCTTATTGTGATCCTTTGTACGGAGTGTGAAGTACATTTTTGTTTGTTTTTGCATATTGGAGTATTTGATTTTGCCCAAAGGTGGCGTTTGCTTTTCTTCCTTTAAAAGTGCGTGTGTGGCTAAGAAGTTTTGGGAGACTATCCACATTTTGACGAGATAAATCAAGTCTTTTTTCTCTTATAGATGGGTGTAATTAATTTTTGTTCATAACATTGTTTTTGTTTGGATAGTTCTCCCCATAATTTTGTTTTCTGTTTGTATTTGGATATTTTGTTTAAATATTTTTTTGTTTGTAACATATATGTAATGATTTTTGTATTCCCTGCATCATGGGTTCTTCCCAGTATGTCTAAATAAATAAATAAATATATGCCACCCATGACATTTGAAAAAACTTGGGTCTAGATGGGAAAAAACCTTGATGGGGTTTTAAAAACCCAGATTTACCCAGAAAAAAGTGGCCAAGTGGAGATTCAAATAAAAATATTTATTCTTTTAAAAGCATTTTCAGACTATGTAGCCCAATATCAGCACTCCAAGTAGAAATTATATTTTATTTTTGAATTGTATCTAAAAGTATATAATTGATATTTTGAATAATTAGATTTTTTTGCACCTTCTAAAATTTATGTGATAAATCTATTGAATATTTGAACTTAAAATTAATACCCAGGTTTAATTAGTTTTCTAATTTGTGTGCTGATACTAGACTTAATATTTTAGTCTAACTTATCTTGAAAATAAAAATACAAAAATGATTGAGAATAATTGATAATTGAGTAAACTACTTCTAAAAGCATTATTCACTACATGTATACTTTTCCAAATTTAATATGTCTAACACACATTAAATTTGGACAAGTATACATATAGTGAATAATGCTTTTAGAAAACTTGTTACTCTGCTAACACGAATAGAAAACAGGTTGTGAGTAAGGACCCATCTGGTTCCAAAAATCAACAGCCCTAACTCTGTAAAATCCTTTGAATGGGCATTTCCAATGAAAAGCTGTAAAATAAATGATAATATTATGTTAGACAAAACTGTACAAGTTATGCTATTAATCAATAAATAAAAAAGTAATATTTTGATGCATTACACCAAATACATAAATACAGGGCCGTGGAGTTGGAGTCAGAAAAATGTGTCGACTCCGACTCCCATATTTTAAATTTATTTAAATTTTATTTCATTTAAATAAAAAACTAATTATATATTTATTTATTTTACAAAATGCATCAATTTAATTTATTAAATATGTAGTATTCTTTGCAGTATGTGTTTAGTAGTTAAATTATTTTGACCCAATTGAATTTGAATATTTTTGAATCATTCCTTTATTATTCCTGCTCTAAATAAGTACTCTATTTTTTTTGAATGAGCCAGAATAATTGTTCAGAAAAGAAAAATATGTACTCTGATCAAAGGACTGAAGTAACTAGCTAGATTGCACACTTTTTAGTTGGACTAACTCTTCTGGAAGGGTGAAACTGAAGTGCAAATGCTGACAAATATATGTAGATGTAGAATTTTATTTAATAAGAGGAGAAAGGGTGTGATATTTGTTACAAATAAATATTAAAAATACTAACTATAAAAGTATTTGGGTAAATGCCCCAGGCTCCTTTCAGAGTTCAGTGTAGGGTGCTCCTCTAAGAGCACCCGGCCCCCCCATAAAATGACTTAGTATTTAATTTTGCCGGAGTCGAGTGTTCTTTTACCAACTTCGCAGCCCTGTTTAAAGCAAATAAATCATCTCATTCTAACTTTTTTCCATCAGTTGTGTGTGTTATAAAGTCTTTAAATAAAAGTGGCAAAATATTAAGTCCTTTAAATTGAAAATTGAATGCATGCTGAGAGAAATTTAAAGAACAGACCATTTTTTAGCTTTCACAGAACTTGCTTTTTAGCCATTTTATAGTTCAAATAGTAATAAATTATTATTTCAATATGATAAAATGTTATATAACATTTTAACAAATGAAGACTATTCAATACTAAAAAAATTTAGTCTCAAATCAACATCTAGAAATCTAGATGTTGATTTGAGACTAAATTTTAGAAGTTGAGACTAAATAGTCTCAATTTCTGAAATCTTTTAATGAAACATTTTTGTTCATTAAAGATTCAGCTTTCACTTTTATGTTGAAATTGGTTATTATCTGTTCAGCTTAAAAATCAAAATAATTGCAAAGCATATGTAGTGTCATGTAATTTAATATAAAATACATTGTTTTGTTTTTACCTTACCTTTGCAAAGAACTCCACTTGAACTTAGTGACAGGCATCTCAATGTATGCTTAAACACCATTCCACTCAAAAAATGTAGAGGCAATAAATTTATATGTGAAGCGCAAACTGGTGATTACATGCACCTTGCAATCAGCAACTTTTGTCATGTTTCAATCATATTGATAAATACACATTTTTGTGGAACATTGATCCATTTTTCTTGAAGTATTGTCTTCAGCTGATCTTATTGTTCAGAGCCTGTTTTTGTACTTTTTCTCTAGGACATGCCATATGCCATTGAATGGATTAAGATCAGACAAATTTGAGACATTACAGAACTTGAACTAATTTTGGTAAAGTGTGTAGTATGCAGCTTGACAAATGCTTGTTGTAAGATTGTATCTCTCTACAGACACAGGCCAACCATAGAAGGCAAAAAATGCTGGCACAAAATTTCCTGATAGCATTATGCATTGACAGCTCTATCACACACAATTAAATCACCAATGCCAATATACCAAAAAATCTCCATACACTATGGCTGTATACTTGGTATTTTGCTTCACATAGTTTTGAGTGACTCCTTCATTGAGATTGCCTGATATTTTCATACAGGTGATGCAAACTGCTTTCTATTCTGAAAATATATTGGGTTTCAGCATACTCTTGAATGACATGATGGCACAGGATGTGTCATCATGTCATTAGCCTGTTGCTAACAAACAGGATATTCTATGTATCTGCTTTGCAATTCTGCTACTAACATGAATATAGTGTACTAGGTCAGTATTTCATAATACTGACCTAGTATACTATTTCATAACAAGGTTAAGTAAAATTTGAACTTTTCTGACAATTGCTGTTGACTATCTACCATTGTATATCCAGGCACTATGGAATTATTTCCTTGTAGTGTCTGATGAATGCTTTTATATTAGATACATTCAAAAATAATTCCCAAGAAATCTGCTGCATACCACTTCATTGCATCATTTTTGGAGGTTCTGCTCACTTATCATTGTTTTGAGTTCTAAACAGAGACAGCACCACATTCTATACTACTGTTTTTATGCATATGAGAAAGTGTATATAGCATGAAATAGCAAAAAATTTATGAAGCATAACCAACTGATTTCATGTTTTGAGTAGAATGATGTTTCCAGGCATATGCTTAGATACCTGTTACAGTGTACAGTCCTTCCAACAATAATAGAACATACAATGATTGCCTAGAAACTCTCTATTATTTTCATGTAACTTTGATGAATTTTTCTAGTATGTTTGATAGCAAAATATCAACAATTACTGCATAAGTTTGGGAAAAAATGATTAATAACAAAAGAGTTAGATATCATCATCAAAAATAGGATGTCCAACATTAATAGAACATACACTGATTGGAATTAATTTCAAAGAAAGTAATGTTTGGAATCCATGAAATTTGCATAAAAATATAATCAACAAGTGGAAAGAAAGATTTAGTAAATTTAATTAATAGTAAGGTACTATGCAAAATGGGATGTGGAAAGGACCTAACTAAAGAGGAAAAGATCAAAATTGATGTATTTCATCAGGAAGGGAGAAAAGTAACTTTGATTGCTAAAAATTTGGGAAGACCTCATTCAACAATCTCAAAATATTTCAATAATAAGAAGCAATGAACAGGAAAACTAAATAGTGGTTGCAAGAGTTCAACAATACCTAGAGAAAGACATACAATTGCTCGATGTGAACTGCAAGGAAACACACATATACAAAAAATCAAAATGAATTGAAGCTGAGCTGCAGTAAATCAACAGTATACAATATTTTGAGATCAACAGACAATGTTTTGTTCATCAAAATAAAGACAGAAAACCAGCCAAGGAGAAACACACACAATTTGATTACAGTTTGCCAGAAACAACTTTGAAAGAAGGGAAGGATGAGAAAAAGTGGAATCTCAATGGACCTGATGGTTTGAAGTTTTACTGGGCAGACAAAATACCAGATCAAAAGCAATACTCAAAGAGAGTGGCTGGTGGTGGTACAACACTCATGACTTGGGCAGGGGTTGGATGGAATGGAAAGACAGATATAGTATTTATTGAAGATCAAAATAACTCTCAAACATATCAGGAGCTTGTCTGGAAGCAGCTCCAAACTTATAGACAGAAAATTGCTGGACAGGACTTTGAATTTATGCAGGATAATGCAAGCTTCCGTGTATCAAAATCAATGTTATCTTTTTTTCAGAGAACGTTGACTTTTGGACTGGCCACCCTTCAGTGCAGATTTAAATCCAATTGAGAATCTTTGGGGTGACTTGGTTTTCCAAATGTATAGCAGTGGAAAGCAATACAAGGTTGTTCTCATTGAAGCATTGGAAAATATTCTGCAAGAATGACTGCAATTTTTGATAATTCAATGTCTAATTGTATTTTTCAGCTTATTTCCAAAGATGGTAGCAAAATCAGTTACTAATTTTAATTTAAAGATATAAGTTAAGATGTTCTATTAATGTTGGACATTCAATTTTTGCTAATAGTATCTAGCTCTTTTGTTTATTAATCATTTTTCTCCAAACTTGTGCAATAATTGTTGCTGTCTTTGATGAAATTTTCCAGTACATTTTATAGTAAGTTACATGAAAATAATAGTTTCTAGGCAATCACCATGTTCTATTATTGTTGGAAGGACTGTATTTACCAATTTTTGTTGTACTGCATAACTCAAGTGGAATACTTTATTTGCAGTTTGTAAAAAAAAAACTTTTTCACTAAACAATGTTAAACATAGAAACATCCAATGATTGTATTAATTATTTAATTAGCCTGATCATTTAGGCAAAGTAATTTGTCACTAGAGGTAGGCATTAAGCACCATCTTTTAACTAAATTAATAATTATAATTTTAAAAATTTATTAAATAATTTAGAACCATCTGAAAGAAAAGAAATGATCTGGGGCAGGATTTGAATCCACAACCTCTGCTTGCCATGTAGTGAGCTTGCCAATTGCACCATCTGGACCCCACACAAGCCTTCACACTTCTAGATGTATTTAAATTTTAGATATAAGGTTATAAGGATTAACTGTGTAAGTTTATATCTAAAACTTACACAAGTAAAATAGCAAAACCTATTTGGGACAAGACTGTCTTGGAGACTCACTACTAAACAGAATCGCTTTGATGCTCAAGGTGGGTCTTGTTCTCCAATCTTTTTTGGTATTGTTGATTTTGGGCACAATCGTTCAAACTTCGCTGGCCACGACCATGATGTCATTCACGATGCATTTTTGATGAAATTAACCTATCCAACTTCAAAACTTCTCTCCGTTGCATGTTGGCCTGGGTTGAATTTTTGTCGACGTGTAATGAAAATTTCCCATTTTTGAAAAAAATAATTGTGGTTATTGTATCGTCCGAAATTATTTTTTTATTTTGCACAAACAATATACAGTTTAACCCGATTATAATGTCATCGGATATAAGACAACCCTAATATAACGTCAAATTTTTATCAGTCCCACGATTTTACTATACTAGATAATGTTAAAAAAACCCACTTGTAACGACATAAAACTGTTTTAACGTCATTTTTGAAGTACTCCCAAATTTACAAAATTAGATTACGAATTTTATTTAACATAGAAGAAACTACGTGCTCGGTCCTAAGGTCAGAGTTGTTCACTTCTTNTATAATTTATTAAATAATTTAGAACCTTCTGGAAGAAAAGAACTGATCCAGGGCAGGGTTTGAACCTGCAACCTCTGCTTGCCAGCTGTGCCACCTGGACCCCGAGCAGGTCTTTGCTTCCAGAGGTATTTAAATTTAGATATAACCTTATTCGGTTAATCACAACATCAGCTGGGGATGACTCCTACACCCATGGCCTAAGAACAACTGGATGTTTCTCTATACTCATTAGGCTTTGTGATGTTTAACATTATATAAATATAACAAATATTATGCAATAATTTCTTACTTTGACTTGAATTTTGTAACTTTTGCATGTATGTAAATGATAGAAAAACTGTGTCTTTTTGGTTAATCCTTGTATAAGTTCTCAAAATACCATTTGGAGAATGCTGAACCTCATAGGTTAAAAGGCATCTGTAATAAAATTATACTTTTGATATAATATATATTTTATTAAGCACTTATACTAAATGATCAAATGAAAACAAACTCCTGAAGAGTTTGGCAATGCTTCAAGTTGGTCATGTTTGTTATTGCAAGAAATATATATACACTTGAGATAAATCATCATCTCTAAACAATTTATTAGTAAAATGAAGTGCAAAATTTCCAATCCTCAACTTATCCATACAGGCATAGGAAAGTCCCTTTAACTGGAAAATTCTTGCAAACAGAGTGCGCTACAGTTATGCAAGTGAGGTAATGGCATAGTAAAGCAATTATGCCTGACCTAATGCATACAACAGCATTGCTCCTAGTGGTGAAATTTAGAAGATAGGCAAAGCAAAATAAACTTTCTAATTGGAAAGTTTGCTCTATCAATTAATTAGCACGAAATGACATGCGGTTCACATGGATAAGATAACTGTCACCTGTATATCCAAAAATGTCCAAAAGTGATGCATGCCATTTTGTGTAAACATTTGAAAGGAATATGGCTATTCCTTTCAAACGTTTCAACTATATTAGATTTTATATTTTGTATAAGTTCACAATGTTCAATGTTAACTCAGGATATTCTTCAATATTTTAATTCTTGAAGTTAGACTCGAAAATATTTATACGTTTTTGTAAATAGTCTCTCAGTAAATCCTTTTGCACTAACCATATTGGTTAGAAGATAAAACTTCTTTAAAAGACAAATAATAAAAGGTAAAAATTCACATGTTTAAATATGATCAAACGCCAGCCTTTTATTGTAGGATCTGACATTTTTTACATTAAAAACTTAAAGAATCTTCTCACCAACCATCAAGTCCTTTTCCAAATTTTATAACTGGTTCATCCCTTTAGTGGTAGTTATGAGTCCATCACTTTCATTTGCATAACTTCACAATCTTAAAATTTTGAAGAATATCCTGAGTTAACATTCAATTCTTGAAGTTAGACTATTTACAAAAACATATAAATATTTTCGAGTCTATGAAGGTGATGGACTCGTAACTACCACTAGAGGGATGAACCAGTTATAAAATTTGGAAAAGGACTTGATGGTTGGTGAGAAGTTTTTAATGTAAAAAATATCAGATCCTACAATAAAAGGCTGGCATTTGATCATTTTTAAACATGTGAATTTTTACCTTTTATTCTTTGTCTTTTAAAGAAGTTTTATCTTCTAACCAATATAACTGTGTCTTCTGTGGTTAGTGTAAAAGGATTTAATGATAGACTCGAAAATATTTATATGTTTTTGTAAATAGTCTAACTTCAAGAATTAAAATATTTATATTTTGTGTTTAGTATAAATTAAAAGAAGGCATTTTACCATGCACTTTGTAATATTGTCAGTTTTAAAATACTGTAATGAAATCATAAATCTAATGATTTCTTTGTGTAAAACTACCTTTTATTAGAAGCTTTAGAATTAACCTTTATTTTTATTTTTGATGTGTTATATTCATTATTATAAAAATATATTTTTAGCCTTCAATTTTATGTTTGTCAAGAAAATAAATTAGCTCACAGGTGTGTACATGTACATGTGATTCAACTGACTATATCTTTAATGGTTTTATCTATATATATAAATGAGGATGCTTGTTTGCTGGGCACACCTAGGCCTTTTGACCAACTGCTACAAAACTTGGCAGTTATGATCTAAATTAGAAGAATTTGAACATGTCATACATCTCACTCCAAAATATTGATTAGATTTCTATATATTGATTAATTTTTGTCTACATTTGATTGCTGGTTTTACACATAGCATCATTTAACAAAATAATTAAGTAAATATAATTAAAATTATATCCTTTTTTTGTAATAAAAATATATATTATTTTCAGTGAATTACTGTGACAATGATATAGCGTGAAATAGATGCGCCATTATGCCGATACTGCAACAGGTAGCACATAGCACTTGCCTGCGAAGAGTGTAGTAGTGTTTTTCCCCTGTACATCATATGTTTCCTATTAGATACATAATTGGCACAACTCTATTGCTAACTCCATTCAAAGGAAAATTCTGAATTGAAATAACATGACTTGCAATACAAATCAGAAGTTCATATATAATTAATCTGGTCTCTACTTTCATCTATCTAACTCCATTCTCGAGATTAAGGAAAAACAAACGGATGACAGTGGGAATTAATAGGTCTACAATTTTTTCAAGTTGCATCCTAATAATTTTTGTATAAACACAATATTTACGAGAACATACTTCCACATAGTTTATATAACATGTTGTCATCATATAAAACAATTATTCTAGCATTTTTACAAGATTTTATATGAAGTCTTTCAGACGTTAAAGTTGGGGCCATCACAATCTATCCAATATGAATCACTTTTCAAATATTAATAGTAGACCAGTATTAATTAGTAATCATTGAGCATTCCTTCTTCCAGGAGGTGGTCAAATTACTTCAACCCCCTTCTGCAATGGACCTTTCTTTCTACCAGACCAGCAGTATGGTGGGATTCAAATAGAAAAATTACAGGCAAGCACAAAATATGATTTAAGTGGTTTTCAAGGGTGCCGAGTTTAAATATTTGGTGCAGTTTTTGTAAAATTTGATTGGTTAGCAGATTGCTGTTTGAATATCCACAAGAAGACAGTGGAAGAACTACTATAAGTGAAGAAATTGATTAAATTTGTCAACAAACAACTGATCATCTTGTGTGTATATATATATATATACACATTTCACATTGTAAGTCTCAACATAAAAAATAAACAATTTAGGCTACTTTGCTACTTTGCTTAATTTTCTTGTAAAGTTTGTTTTGTTAATAAATGCCAGAGCAAGACAACTCTGCAGACCCCTTTCCCTTCACCTCCTAACTTCCATCAGGGCTAAGTCAGTCAACAAGACAGACTTTACTGTAATGTTTGATATTTGGCTGTGAATGGTACAGTTTCTTTAAGTTAACATTAGAAAATATTATGACATCTAAGATATATTGTCAATTCCTGTCTACTTGATCATTGAATTTGTGCCATTTAGTACCATCAGAGTATCATGATAAATATGACAATGGTAGGCTGAAATAACCAAACTCTTTATACGGTATTTGATTTATATTTACAAAGGTTATGGTTAGAAGTATGAAATAATCTTTGCTATTGTTATTTTTTGCCCAAGCAACACCAGGCTCATCTACTAGTAGTTCCTAAATTGATACTTGTAAAAGCACATTGTACTTTAGCTCAATTAAACATATTGATGTAAATATTGTATAGAGTGGCTGCTAATTATTTATTTTATTTTCAGTGAACAGAGATCAATTGAATCATCATACTCAAGTGAAACAAATTCCTCAAATATGTCTTAGAATGGTTGATAACTTGAGCACATCCTTCTTGTCATTAAAACAGCTTTTTCAAGTCTTCAACCATTCTAAGACACATTGAAGACTTAAAACAGTTGTTGGTAATTGTTTTAATGACAAGAAGAATGTGTGGAAATTATAGGCTTCTATAACCATAAAGAACTTTTATCTGTTACACTCCCTCTTCTAAACATATATAAGTTTGAGTTTCATTTTGGGCAATTTTTCCTTCCAAATTATCTAAATTTAATGTTTGTTTTGATTAATTTCAGTCTGATTAACCAGATTAATCATTTATTAATGTTAGAAGATATTTGGTTACTGTTTCAAATATAAATTTTTAACATCATTTTATAGAATTAAAAGGGATTCCTAAATTATTTACCTATTAGAAGGATCTTTCCAGGTTATAATGATACTTTGTTGAGAAATACTCAGTATTTGGATCTTTTTTACCTGTTTAAAAGATAAAAGTTTTGTTAAAAATTGTCAATACAGTAGAGCCTCAAACTCGGCACTCCGGATAACTCGGCCACACCCTGGTAGGGCAAAAAAATTCTTAGTTAATTAATTTTCATTATAGACAGCTTTATGCCTCATAAAGTATTTTTTTGGGGTCTGTCTTATCAGGTAAATTACTGTACACAGTGTATTCATTAATTTTCATTTTCATGTAGTAAAAGCTCTATGCCTTCATAAAGGACGTACTTATCCTTTGTTTAAGAGTATTTGGGCAGTTTATTCTCTGTTGTATTCTCAAGTAAACAATACATACAAATACAGTACAGTATTTTCTGAGGAAACACTCATACTTAGTTTTTTAACCCCATTCCTGATAACCCGGCCACCCTTCGGTCCACATTAGGCCGAGTTTTCGAGGCTCTACTGTATCAATCAACAAATTCTTTCTAATAATAACAATTTATTAACTAATAAAAAGATTAGACAACTATTATGGAATAAACTTGTACTACTCACATAGGTTGGTAAATTGTGCTTATCACAGATATATAACAAATTAACACCAGGCAACAGTATCTTCATGTAAAACTTCCATGGTGGATAAGATAGTTTTTTTGGTTTATGCAACCGAAATGGACCCTAAAAAAAATTTAATTCATAGCATTAAAACTAAATATTGTACATTTTTCTTAAGTAGTAAAAATTTTCAAATACAGTAGCTACCAATTCATACTAACAGAATTACAATTTAATGGCTTTTTTAAAACTAATTGTTTGGGATGATGCACTAGTTTTATCATTGTTATAAGAGGTTTGTAACCAGGTTCCAAATCATAGCCCTCCACTATGAATCAAAATTTGTCAAAGGTCCATAATTCCTAAGAAAGCTCTGTTCAAATATTATAAATTATTTTAATCTAATGTATGAACAGCTTAAATAGCTTAAATTTTTGAAAAGCCAGAACAATAAATATATTTAAAATTCACAAAAGAATAGAAGAAATGCTGTCAATTTATTTTTTTTAGTATATTTAATAGTAGTATTATTAGTGTATTTAATAGTATTTTCACATTTTATCCCTTTTCACATCTCAGAAATATAGCAGTCTCATAGCAGAAGTACTCATCTACCTCAAGATAAGCACTGCGGAACTGCATCATCTCCAAAGAAAAATAAAATCACAAAATAATTATACATTAATTTTAATTGAGTCATTATTTTATGATTTTATTTTTCTTTGGAAATGCTGTAGTTCCACAGTGCTTATCACGAGCAGCTACTGATCTTGAGGTAGATGAGAACTTCTGCTGTGAGACTGCTATATTTAAAGGATAAAATATAAAAATACTAAAATAAATTGACGGCATTTCTTCTATTCTTTTGTGAATTTTAAATATATTTATTGTTCTGGCTTTTCAAAAATTTACCTGAGGAGTTTAACACATACTCTTAATTTTAACTTGTAAATATTTTTTATATTATTAGGAACTGTCATGTGATTTCCAAAGAATGATAAGACATACATATTCTTAAAAAAACTGTATGAAAACTTTTTATAGCATAAAAATTAGAAAAGTCATATTTTATAATCATAAGATGATGATTATTTCTAGAAAGGGAGTGTCTAGACTCCACAGTAACCTACAAGAAAAGGTCTGTTGCAAGTTTTATTTTCTCATCACTAATATAAATTTTATAGTTTACTGACTTTTGATCAATAACAAATAAGTCTTGTGTAATTTAAGTTTCTTACCTCTACAGATCTCATGACCTTAAACTGATGTATAGAAGGATATGGAGGATATCCAAATTTTTTCCACCAAAAATATGGATTTGTTTCTTCGTTATTTATGTGATATTGAACCATTCTAAAGTCTTTTACTGTAAAAAAATACAGTTTACTCAAGAAACATTATTATTGTAATTAACAGAAATAAAAGAATTTAATAACCTGATGTAATATTAAGTCCATCAATTGTAATATCTAAATAATTGTAACTTGAAATATTGAAAGTATCCAGACTATTGTACAACAGTAGTACAAATTCAAATCTAAAAATATTACAGTATGCTGTAAAATATTTTTCTAAATATTATCACAATTTCCATTAACAATTACCTTTCAGATTCATCATTGAGTGTTGCTATTGCACCTAATGTTTTTGAATTTCTCCAATTTCCTGGTAAGAAATTAACACACTGGTTGTTACAGTTCTAAAAATATTGATTGAAAAGTATTTAAATATAAGAATATAAAAAAACCAACCTTTAACATAAATTAATTTTTTACCAAGTAAACTGAGCAGTCCAAAAACAGAATAAATAGGTTTTTTTACAAATTCAGTGTAAGGCGTTTTGGTGTTATTCATTTGAAATCGGGCAAATAATGTTCTCTGTGTAAACAGATGAGGATAATAACTGAGAAATGCATTATCATTGCTCAGAAGATTGTAATTGAAAGGTGGAGTGTTATTTGTATAAAACATTTCAAGATGTTGTGCTATAATCTGAAAATTCAAACGAATTAATAAGAATGAAAACAGAAATAGCAGAAGTGATTTGATAAAGAATAGTCAAGATTTATATTTTAAATATTAGACTTTAATTAATAACTTCTTAATAAGAAAATCATATAGTTTGTATTTTTCTAAATGAGTTAAATAATAAGCCATTAAATGACTATAAAAATTATATAAAGTATTTTGCTTTTACATAATGGAAATATTTTATAATAAAATTATCTGCATTAATTATAATTTAATTTGTTACTGCCCAATACTTACTTTAATGGCAATGGCAGCATAAGTTGCATCTGCTCTCCATTCTAGAGGTTTAGACCAAGTAACCATGGGATCACTTTCACTGATAAAAGTGTATCATACTTATTATTATAAAAGTATTGTAATTTCATGCAAATAACTATTATTGGTACAGTAAATCATTCGTATATGATGTAACTCTATAGTGGCCAGAGAAATTATAACATTTACTGGTATACAATTCAGAAGATACCATCTCTTAATTTAAGTAGCCAGAACTATCATTTTCAATCATAAAATAAGTTTTGATGGTTAAAATAATTATATTAACAATAAAAAAAAAATGCAATGAATCTATATCTATAAATGAGAATGTTTGTTTGTTTACTATACACTCCTAGGCCATTAGACCAATTGCTACAAAACTTTGCAGTTATATTAACATATTTCTATATTAGATAATGTCATACATCCCACCCCAATTATTTATTAAATTTCTGTATATCAATTTCTATTTGGTTTGCTGGATTTACATGTAATGCTATCTATGGGCAAAAAATTAAATAAATAATAAACTAACTATAATTAATATGAAGAGATATAATTAAAGAAAAAAAAAACAAATATTACAGTATGTTAACTTAGTTATAGTATGAAGTAGAAGTGCTATATTATTATAGTAGAGCATCGATTATCCGACTCAATTGGAGACTGGGGTTGGTCGGATAACTGAAAAGTATGAAAAAACATTATTAGTATATCCCATGTAATTAGTATATTGCTATTAACCTACTTTGCGTTGAATTTTCATCAATGTTAAGCCTAACAAAATTTTTTGAAATAATAATCGTCGCTATTGTATCGTTAAAAATTATTTTATTGCTCAAAAAACAAATAACCATTCATAATTAGAAAATTAAACGTTGTTTAAATACTGGTACCCCTTTTATGGTTGAGCTAGTGTTGCTAGCTAAAACACCAAAAATGTAACAAAAATATTAAAGTAGCCAAGACAGAGCCAAATATTATAGCGCTGCATCACTAGTGGGCATTTGAATTTGCTGACTAGAATGCAGTCAGTGAACTGATGTGACGGTTGATCAGGGGTCGGATAATCGATGCTCTACTGTACTTTGATACTCACTTGCATGGAGCCAAAACTGTTACACTGGTAGATGGTTATGGGTTCAAGCATTGCCAACGGGCAGTTTTCTGGGGTTTGTTCAAGTTAGTAACACCTAAATAGGGACAGTTTCTCATAGTTGATCACTCCTAGGAAGAGTTTTGTGTGCCACATTGTCATAACCAAAGAAACCAAACTAATTGTAATAATTTATATATAAGCTTGCTATTTATGAGGACATATTTCCCATGCAGTTTATGGACATTCTGATAAATTTCAAAAATGTATGTGATAAAACCCATTTTAAGAACATTATGATTAATAACACTAGGTATAACAATTACTGTGAGGGGTGCTTTTTAAATGCAAGCAAAGCCAGGCATAAAAAGCTAGTATAGAATGAACTACATAGCCAGTTTCTAAATAGTTCTTTGAAGTAATGACATTACATGCAGAGGAGTGAAATTAAATGGAAATCTATTAGCTTTCAAGATAAAAGCTCAAATAGAAACGTCTAATAATAATAAAGTATAGAATCTAAAGACAAAGTATGAATATATATGTCATTACTGGTTTTGGTAAAAAAATGCAGATAAATGCAATGGCAGATAAATATCTCTGTGGTATACAAAGAATTTTTCACATCATCTAAAAATGGTTTTAGTGACTTCAGACAAATGAAAAGCTGTTTGATGAATTTGTAATTGCAATTTAAAATTAATATATAACATATATCCACTTTCAAATTGCTTTTAAACACAGATAACATTCAGGTCATCTGTACAAAATTACAATATAGGCATAACCTATGTTGTTTACATAATGTGTTCCATCAAATAGTAATTGTATTGTAAGTTGCCATTTCCCATACTTTTTTAAAAATTTTATTTATATTTTTTTTTTATTTTCCCCATACATGAAAAGTTTTTGAGCAATGACCAATATGGTTTCAAGCTCCAGCATTCTGCAGAGGATGCCCTTGTTAAATTGTGATACTATACAGCAAGGAAAGAAGAAGAGATTGATGTCTCTGTTAATATTTCTATGTATCAAAGGCACATTTGACAATGTATGGTGGCCCTCAATTTCAAAACTTATCAGAGATACCAAAGTACTTCAAAATATTTATTACTTGGCTCAAGGATTTCTTAAAAGACAGAAGAACTGAGCTTAAATTGGGCTTTGTTAAAAAAATCTACTAAATACAGGCTGTCTTCAAGATTCAGTGTCTGGACCCTTACTCTGGAATGTTGTTATAAATGACTTGCTAATCTATTTGTCAGTTATAAAATCAGCTATATCATTAATTATTAGTGTTGTAATGAATAGTATATTCGGCCTCAGGCCGAATACCGAATATTCGGCCAGAAGCGTGGCCGAATAGCCGAATATTCGGCCAAACTATTCGGCTTGATTAACGCACGTACGAAAAATTGGCGCGCAAACCGCATTACGGCAAGGATCCTGCTCTCTATTGGCCCGCTGTCACTACGCTTCGCCAATCGCGCTAATTCTTGGCAGTTGTAGCGGACAGACAAGAGTGTCATGGAAGTATGTGATAAATGATGATATCAAATGTGGATAACAATGAAATGACCTACACATGTAAATAACGGAAAAAGAACAGAGAAGGACCGCAAAGTAAAAATGTGAAAATAAATATGAAATTGAGTCGATAACATAATCGAACAAGTCGAGGCAGCTTATTGGCACCAAATTCACGCCCGTCAATGCCAAACAATTGTTGTCATAGTCTTCAGAAAGCTAAATGCTTGTAATGTAAGTCACTTAGCGTGCACGGGCGAAAGCCTGGGGCCGTTCGGGCTATCAAGCTGTCTCGAATCTGTGAAATCATAAATGTGACTTATATCGACATCCTATCTGTCTCTTTTTTCCGTTATCACCAGGCTGAAGTCACGTAATTGTAAAATGGGAACTCTAGGACAGAAAAGTGACAAATCGAAAGTATCGTGAGCACGTATTATGGTGTATGCACAGGCATACGTGGATTAGAGTGATAGAGGAAAGAGAAAGGGAAGAGCAAAGACGAGCACTTAAAAAGGATAGGCAGGGTCAGATCCTCAGATGTGCGAGGATTCTCCAACGATAGACGTGTATGTGTGCTGATATTTGTAATTATAAATTGTGAATACATGTGACTAATATTATTTTCTTTTTTATTTTGTGCATGTTACAAGTTATAAATAAATATAGACAAACAACACTAACTCGACAACATTAAATCTAAATACCAAAATGATTAATTTACTGTGTTTTTGTTATTTATTTATCCTGTTTTTAAGTATTCGGTATTCGGCCGAATAGTGATTAAATATTCGGTATTCAGCCAAATAGTGAAAAATAGGCCGAATACCGAATAGTAACTGAATATTCGTTACATCACTATTAATTATTGATGATTTGCCAAATTATTATTTTTTAATCTTAAAACCCAGACATTTTTGGTCTTTGCCTGGTCACCTGAACATGAAGAAATAACAGATTAGGTGGCAATACTTGGAATGGACAAAGCATCATATGCATCATATCAGTGGGTATAGCTAAGTCAGATCATGGTATGAAATGTATGACAATTTTATCCTGAGATGGTCATAACCTGGGGTACGCCTGTAAGGTATATTGAATACTTGGATTGGATGTCACGCCAACAATTATGTTAATTCAATTAGAAACTTCAGACTAGGAGGCATTAAAGAGAATTAAAAGGAAATATTTTAATCTAATTAAAATAAAGATTAAAATATTCCTTTTAATTCTTTTTAACACCTCCTAGTCTGAAGTTTCTAATTGAATTAATGCCTGTATTTAATTTTTAATACATATTCGTTTATTTAAACAAATTTCAAATAAAATATTTTAATTGTTTTCTGATAACAACTTTGAAAATTATTAATAATAAACATTTCTTATAATTAATTATTATAATTCCACAACTAATTAATTCTTTGTCAAGTAAAATTACAGTAGAGCCTCAGTTATCCGACTCAATTGGGGACTGGGGTTGGTCGGATAATTGAAAAGTATGAAAAAATCCATTATTAGTGTAGTATATTATTATATCCCATGTAATTAGTATATTAGTATATCGCTATTAACCTACTTTGCGTTGAATTTTCATCGATGTTAAGCCTAACAAAAATTTTTTAAAATAATAATTGTCGCTATTGTATCGTTAAAAATTAGAAAATTAAGCCTTGTTTAAATACTGGCTCCCTTTCATGGTCGAATGAGTGNTAACGTTACATTATTACCGTACTTTCCGGCGTATAAGACAACCCCCGACTTTTACAGTTAAAATATAGAGTTTGGGATATACTCGCCACATACGACGACACCCGACGTATAAGACGACCCCTGACCTTCGAGAAGATTTTCCCGGGTTAAAAAGTCATCTCATACGCCAAAAAATACGGTAATACAGTCGACCCCCGTATAAGATCATTGATTATTCCGTTTTATATGAATTCCATGTTGTACAAGTCACTTAGATTTTACAAATACGTGTACCGGGCTGTGAACGGCTCACGTATTTGTAAAATCTAAGTGACTTGTACAACATGGAATTCATATAAAACGGAATAATCAATAATCTTATAAGGGGGTCGACTGTATAAAAATATTCATAAAAAGACAAAATTCTACTTACTCATTATATAATGGTGTATTTTTTAACTTTGGATAATGTTTCATAATTATATTCATTGTTTCTAATTCATCCTGTATAATTTCAGATGAAGTTCCATTGCCCTAATTAAATAAATTATTGGCATTAAATAAACAGGCATAAAAAAATACAAAATTTTAAAAATTTGTAATTACTTTTTTGTGAATTGATATAAAATTAATTCTAACACTCCTTTTCTTAGTAAAAAAATTTTTTCCATTGTTACAATGTTCCATAAGAGCCCAACATAAAGGTGACCGACCAGTGGATGGATCATGACAGGAACCACCAGGTCCACCAAATGTAAGATTGACATCTGCTAACTTTAATCCCTCTGAACATGCATCATAATAATTAAGAAAACCTAAAATTTGCAATAACTGTTAACTTTGTGTTCAAATTGCTTGTCAAATAAAATGAAATATAAGTAGTTTTTTCATAATGTCTAATAATATAAATTATTTCTAATTTTTCATTATAAATTAAAATAGCAATTGATTAAAAACAAAGCAGATATTACTAACCTGTATTACCTGTATCACAGGAGAATCAGATGAATGAACAATGAGAAATCATAAAGCCTAGATTTGATTCACACTTGAATCACTTACAGCAGTGAAAGAATACATTTTTATACAGCTATATACTGTATTTACTTGAATAGAAGATGCCATTGAATCTAAAATGCCCCTTAGTTTCTACATGTTCACCCACAGATGATTTTTTCTTGAAAAATAGACAAGTCCAGACAAATTTATGTCTGGACTTCTCTATTTTTATTTAGTATTTATTTCATAGTAAAGTACAGTAAGTTATAGGGAAGGATGGGGCAAGCCACAAAATACATTGTCTTTACAAATGTATTACATAAACAGCATAGTTGTCACCAATAATTTAGATATTGTTCTAAGATAACAAGATTTCCTATATAATGAAGATAGTTGAGAAGAGATTAATTAAGGGGGTGATTTTGGAGGAGGTCTGTTTTGCAGGTCTCTTCAATGCTTGATTTAAATGGGATAATTCTAAGAATTTGTGAAAGTGCCATTGACTTTCATACATTTTTGGAAGCAAGCAATTCCATGCAATTGTTAGCATGTATAGTACAATCTGCTCTGAAAATTTTATTGAAATCCATTCATTAATTCCTTAAATTATGTGTGTATACTTGGAACCCTTTTAAGAAAAATAATTTTATGTCTAGATACATATATAAGCATCACTAAGCCTGATAGTAATATTAAAGCCAAAAATTTGCCAGATTAAATCGTTTGGCTTTAATATTACCTCTACATATGTTGCCTGGTTAAATTAGTCACAATCCACAACCATCTTTGGCAAGTTTGCTGTGCAAAAGTTGTATTCTAAATACAGATTTGTATAGGAAACAAAGTTGTCACATTGACATGGGCATTGTTGAAAGGCTAAATTACTCAATTAAGATAAATAGAACAATAAATTATACAACATCAGTCATTGCTTTTGGATTGTATAAACATCTGTTCGACTTCCTCTTATAATGACAAGCATTTCTCAACAGTACAAATGTTCTTTTTGTCTAAAAAAATGCCAAATGTATAGCTTGATCATTTTCCCATTACTGTCAGATGGTAAACAATAGCCAGAAAAATGGTCTAAGTCAAATCTGGCCAATAGTGTTGATAACTTAAAAGAAGCTTTCAATTATCCCACATTGTGTGCTACTAAAACCCACAATATTTTTTCACAGGATAATTCCAAGCAGCTTGCTTTGATTTACCCAACACAGACCACTTGAAATTTACCAATAAAGTGCATGAGGGAATTATTCCAAGCATGTTGATTTTGGACTAATGATCATATATATTTTGAAGAAATTGACATTTATGGATAAATAAGACCTTCATTAACATGATCTTTATATCACCAATCATTATAACTGCTCTTTGTGTGAAATTTCTTATATGAAAAACAGGATACAATGTACGGATGAAAAGTGAAGCATATTGAGAAATAATTTCTAAATAGCAGTAGCCATGTCGCTCCACAATTTCCTATCAGACTAAAGGATGTTTCAACAATGGCACCACAACATATTTTACTATTTCCAATGTATAAAGATCAAAGGAGATACTTGCATTGAATTACCTCTTGCATGAAATAACTTCACATTCCCCTATATCACTTTTTCCATGGTATTGAAGTCAGAAACCTCTCACCTTCCATGTTGGGCTCTTCTGAATCAATACAGGATTCAATGCCCACATCTTCTCACCATACAATCATTTTTGATGCTATTTGAAGTATCAAAAATGCAACATTTCTTGAAAGAGTGCTGCACAACTTTTTCTGGCATTTTCATCTAAATACTTATAATGTTAGCTCAATCTCATTAGTCTATTGTAGTAAGTTTTATCTCTTAAATATTGATCCAATAAATTTAATGAAATTATGCAATAGAATTAGTGACAAAGAAATAAGATGGATGACACTAGAAATTGCTAATTATGATAATTATGATGTATTACATTGAATCTATGACTCACCCTAATTTCAGGGGTACAGTACAGTGGTAATTCATACTTCAAATTTAATCTATTTCAGCAGACTGTTTGAACTCTGAATTGTTCAATGTCAAATGAATCCAAATGAATTTTCCCCATTAGAAATAATGTAAAGTAAATTAGTCTGTTTCTAGGCCCTTAACAATACTCATTATTTTGATAAACAGAAAACATACATAATTTAAAGTAAAAATAACACAATTAGATGGCCTAAATAATAAATTAAAATATGAAAACGATAAATAAAATCCATAAATACTGTATAATAAAATGAAAATTTCAGTTACTGATCAACTTCAACATCTTAAACATGACTGCCAGATCAGTCACATGTGTACTGCTTTCATGCTTTGCAATAAATTCCTTTTTCACCTCAATCATTGATACGACAACCTTCCTCTTAAACTTTATTACTTCTCCACACTCTTCTTAGATGCTATGGTTAATAGGTATGGGTTATACATGCATAACAAAACACACCAAAACATATAAGCATAACTTAAGACAGGAATGGGCAACCCGCGGCCCACAGTAATATTTTTTGTGGCCGGCTTCTCATAAAATATGAATAAATATATCAATTTCCCAGCTTAACATTTGAATTTTTGCTGCATACTTTCTTATTTTCTACAACTTACATATGTGAATAGTTTTCCCATAATGAATTTAGAAAAATTAAAACAAAAAACCGGCTAACAGACTCACATTGATACTAATTTAAAACTAACAGTGACTAATATTTAACCAAATATTTTTGATTTATTATGTTTACATCAGTTCCAGAAGCTAAATTAAGTATACCTATGCTAATTTATAATTATATATGAATAAAGAATTGTGATTTACTTACATTTTTCCTCTTTTTTTGTATGCGGCCCACATTAGTTCAAAAGTTTTGAAATGAGGCCCTTACATAGAAAAAAGTTGTCCATTCCTGACTTAAGAGATGCTTTTACAATGAGAATGATACACAACTTTAGTGCACAACAAATGATGTTTACACAGTGAGTATATTTTTCACCATAAATGTAATTTAAACATAGAAGCACCATTCAAACTCCAAATTGAATTTCTCTTGAACTTGGTCTCATTTAAACTCTGAAACATTTGAAGTACAAAGTACCACTGTACTAAAATCTAAAAAAGTATGTCATACATTCAAGTAAACACAGTAACCAATAATGATCAAAGTAATAAAAACATTATCTGCATTATTCCTTACTTGTCAATTTTGTTATATCATTTGTACTAGAACTGTCAACTTGATTCATCTATTGAGTTTAAAAATAATTTACATAAATCATGTAAAAATCTTCAATAAGCTCATGATTTTAATTATCTCACACATCACCATAACAAAGATTGTGAAGGTCTCTGACCAAAGTTGCATAAACCATATCGTTCACCCACAGAAAGAAATCTACGTGGGTCAGTTCAAGAGACTGCTATGCCCAATAGTGTAGCTGCCAAAGACTACAACCTGCCTTTCTCCTGTGGTAAACCATGACTGGACAATAATGCTCACAATTCAACTTCAGTGAAATGTTGCAGCACAAAAAAATCTATGTAAAACTTGATGAGTTTTCCCACCAAATACTATTTGTTGCTTTTATATGTCTGTCTTAAACAACTCATTTTCTATGGTGAACTAAAATCAGATACTTTTGAGTAGAACACCCTGTACTGTAGAAACCTACTTTATGACCAACTTGTTTTAAAAATTCTAACTGTAAACAAATGGTTGTAAAGAAACAATTACAGCTGATCACACTAGGATTACTTGATTTAAAACCTGAGTATGAATTTTCTGTTATCAATAATGTGAAATATCATATTATATCTGAATGACCATCTCTGTATGATATTATGTAATTAATACTATATTCCCAAGATTATAATTTTAATTTATACACATAGCTTATGTCAAATAAAACTGCATGATAATGATTTTCCAAGAACTGTTTAGGTCATAAAAATAGAGTCTACTTTTAATTAAAACAGTTTAATAAACTGGAAATTAAATGTTTCTAAAGGTTATCAATATACAAACTTACATTATGTACCTTTTCTTGTAAAATTAAATTCCAACTCTTTAGTATGGTCTGGTTCATTCCATGTTTCAAAATTCCATTCTTTCACATAATTAATTCCATATTTTTCTATAAAAAAATAAATATTTAATTTTAAAACATGATTTATAAAAATATGATTTAAATGNGTAATATCAATCATTATAAATAACGAACTTTTCCTACAAAACAACAAAAATCGTCGAAGAAAAATTTGCATATTATTATCAAAATATTCGTGATACTTTTAAAAATATATCGCTAATGTTATTTCAAGTGTAGATACATTCGAGCTACAAGACTATTCAAGAATAATAAGTATGAAAAAATCACCAGAATGTAGCTGATAGAGACAAGTACTGTATCAAAAATCTCAAAACGAAAATAGAAAATCCAGCGGAGTAGCGTGGATGTCAACCGCCCGGGGTGGAGGAAATTTTCGCCGTCCCGTTATTTAGGCATCTCAATTTAAAAGACAAATTCAGTTTCGTCACAGAATAAGCAATGAAAAATTCCGTGCTAGTGCAGCGACCTGTTTAAAATAGCTCTATTGGATATTGGAGGCGTATATGAATAGGAATGAATCGTACAAGCAAAAAAAAAAAAAAACAGGTTGCGCAGGATATCCCGGGATGAAATTACTAGTTCACCCGGACGCTGAGTCGATTCCCGGACTGTCCGGATGATAGCACTATCGTAGGCGCGACGCAAATTTAGAATAGAGTGGTTCAAATTTTTACAAAATATTATTATTATTTATTGTGAAATTTTGCCGCACCCACTACGCTACGCCACTGAGAAAATCTACAATAGCGTAATAGCTCACATTTTTTTTTTTTTTTTACTTATTGCCAAGGAGAAACAACGATGATGATAAAGAATTCGTGTTAGTTTTTAACGTAAATATAAAATGTTGCTTATAAATACGAGTTTTTAATATTGATATTTCATTAAAATTAGTGTTGTAACGAATAGTATATTCGGCCTCAGGCCGAATACCGAATAGTAACCGAATATTCGTTACATCACTAATTAAAATCCAATTTATAGCATAAAATACGCTGATTGACAAAAAAGCTATGCACCCAGCTAGAATTGTCCGATTGCTTTAAAACTCGGCATACAGCTATATCTCAGACAGATATGTAAATGATTACAGTTGTGGTCCGATTGCACGCTAGGTAATGCCACCAGAGTGCCTCAAAATCACTATTCAAGTATTCTATAAAAAGATTTTTAGAAAGAGAATCACTGTGTTCGCAATTTTCAATGTACTTGTTTAGTAGTCTCTCAACGCCATACGTGTAAACACAACTGATGGAGTTGGAGAAAACAGGCATCGTTGGGCCGAAGGAAGCGGGTCAAATCGCCCGTTATCTGGGCTGTTTTGACGGCCGAGGCAGTTAAGGCGTCGTCCTGCTGCTCTGTGCATCTGGCATTGAATTCGACCGATCGGGCTATCAAGCTGTCTCGAATCTCCAAGAATTTTTTAGGGAGTGATCGGGACCCACATTTGAGTTCGGCCACTATTCATGACGGATAGAATTAAAAGACCTTTCTTGGTGCCTTCCGGGAGGTCTTTTTAAGAGTAACTGGCTCCTGTTCAGGCATTACAGATGTGAAGAAAACCCTGAAAACTTCACGTGACCAGCCTGTCTTGGCCAGGCGCGAACCCATCCAGTGTTCAGGAAACGGAACCACTTGGCGAACGGTGGGCCAAGAATTCTTAGTTATTTCACATTAGAAAAAAATATAGTCTTAAGAATCTATAGCTCGAACTAGCAGAAAATTTTATTTGTAGAAGTGCAAATAAAATTTTCTATATAAACACAATTTTTTTTTAATTTCAATGGTATTGGTTTCAGATTTGATTTTGAATATGCTTATTTTTAAAAAATGTTTTGTTTTAGCTTGGAATAACGATTAACAAAGTAAAAAATAGGGATTAATTAGTTATAATTAACATAATTACTATTATAAATCTAGGTATTTGTAATTAAAATCTAATTGTACTCTTATGATTTATTAGTAATGTAACAGCCATAATTTACACAAAAACTGAATACACTTAAAAAGCGATAATAATTTTCTAAATCCTTTGTAATTAATCAAATTATATATTTAAAAATTATTTATAAATAATATATCTGCGGAAGACAGTATGATAATACGATTCCGATTTCGTGTTACTTGAGATCTAAAAATTCAGACATGATCAAATCTTTAGTCTTTCTGGGTCACCTGAATGAGTATTGAGATAATTGATGCAGAGAGAGAAGACGCTCACCTGCTATTAAAATACTGTTTACTACATAGGAAAACAAATTTTGATTATACATTACAATCTCGGTAATCCGACATATATGGATGTAACAATGTCGGGTTATTGGAAGATTCAATGGTTTAATCATTAGAAAAGAAAAAATTTGTTTGTTTGCATAATATTAGTACATTGCATTGATATTAATAAACACGTTACTGTATTTTAGAGTTCTCAAATTGAACATCGATCCTTTTAAAATAATTTTCAATTGTCCTTTGCCGTTTTGTTATTCGAGCGCTCTTGTCGTGGCCGATAACCATTCTCGTAAAGTAGGTGGATTCCCACTAAATATAGTATTTTTGGTTTTTATATTAATATTTATACGGTATTGTGTCATAAGAAACTGTACCCAAGCTCGAATGTTCGAGCCCAGGCTCATGCCACGTTTACTAGTGTTCAAATTCAGTGGAAACTGGAATTTGAATTAGTTGGAATCTTGTCTACGGCTTGGTAATAGTGACGATAATATCCGAGATCAAGCTATCGACTAGTGTCGGATTACTAGACATGTCGAACTAGTAAACAGCCGGATTACCAAGATTGCACCTAACTCAATTTGCTGTATATTCTAGAGGTATTGTTGGAAGATCTGCAGGAATATTTGGATTTTTAAGAGCAGAATATCGTCATTTCCTATTATGATCTTTTATTACTACTACTAAGAAGGTGGAAAAGAGATGAACGGAATAAATCCTCCTAAAACTGGTTATAAAATGAAAACTGAGATTTTCACAAACAGAAACTGAACACTAATAACATATACAGTACATAATAACATGTTAACAATAAAGATCCTATCACAATATATATATATATATATATTTGTTTATTTATTTATATACAGAAGCTTCAGGCATTATTTACATACTAAAGATTATTAAAATATAGCATTCAGAAAGAATAAATATATATATATATATTTTCTTTTTTTTCGGTACAATATATACATATATATATATATATTTCGATCTATTTTGACGTCAACGGCAGTAACCTATGTAAATATTACACGGAAGCTTCCAATCACAAAAAAAATAATTTTTCCGCCATCTTTTTATGTAGGCACTCTTTATTTTTGTGTGTTTTTTTGTAAGCATCACAATGTAAACTAAAGTTTCGGCAATACGAACAATACACTCTTGTAAAACATTATTTCGTTAACGGAGTTATACAAGACCTTCTTTAGATATGTAATATAACAAGTTGTTGACCTACCATTGAGCTAAATCTGGGAGGAGGGATACGTATAAAGTATTAAGTTACGAAAAATCAAGATTTAATACATTCCACCTTTGGAATTTTTTATATAGTTTCGGATAGTCTGGAAGGATTGCGATTTCGATAGACATTAACAAATAATTGTGTGTGTAGGCCTATATATATATATATATATTTATAGTAATATATATGGTATGTAGAAACTAAAAGATATTACATGTTTTTGATTTTTTATGACCGGAAAAGGGTTTCCTTTTTAAGAATCTAAATCCCTTTTCACTATGCTTCGAGGTACTTGGATTACGTTGGGGTAACTGTGCAGAAGATACAGATTCTGTCACTTCGCCTTCTCTGTTCTGCGAAGGACAAGTCTGTAACTTATGCACGATGATTCTGTAAGTGCCCGTGATGTTGGATCTCGATCCTTTATCGGCACACTCTTTTAACATCTCTTCGGTGATTCCCAATTCTTTCAATTGTTGTCTGGTTTCTCTCTCTATATCACTAAAAGGTCCGTCGGGATTGGTGTTAATACTATATTTGGTTAGTTCGGATGGAAAGTGTTGGTTCCTCAACCATTCTGTGTTTTTAATCTGTTCTATGGTATAACGATAATGGGGTACTATCTGTAGGATTCCTCTCACTAATTGACAACAAGAGTCGCTAACGTATTGTGGTATAACGTAATGACCTTCCAGGATTAGTTTTTTGAGAGCTGCGACAGTTTGAGCTTTAAAGGGCATAGAACCGGTAACCATGAAGTATAGCAACACTCCCAGTGCCCATATATCAACGTAAGCTCCGACGTAATTTTCGTCCTTGAAAAGTTCGGGTGCGGCGTAAGGAGGTGAACCACAAAAAGTACAAAGAGCTTCCTCTCGTTCTCTCACTTGAGTGCTGAATCCGAAATCGCCTACTTTAACTACGTTTGGCCCAGCGAAGAAAACATTTTCGGCTTTCAAATCTCTATGGATGATGTTTCGTTGATGCTGCAAATATATAAATCAAGTTTATAATAATATATTACGCATTAGAAGCGGCGTTAATCTATTCCGAAAGCCTATTAATGCGTTTACGGGATGTAAAGCGGCGTAACGTAAACAAATACAAGTCGTAACGACACGGACAAGCCGTAATTAATATTGTTTTCAAACCTTGCCGAGTTATATTTATGGTTTCGCTCACGCTTAAAACATCTTTACCGCGTTTGTATGCCTTATTTGGATGATATCCTTGAACGCATTAAGATTCACTAGACTTTTTTAGTACATTTCTTCCCAGGCAGTATTCATTAAGGATGAAAAAGATAAAAGACGGATGCCAGTGACACATCACAAATCGTTTTATTACGTTGGGGAATTTGTAAAGTCAAACTTAATAAAATTTAATCGGCTTTGCTATATAAACTTCGGTAGGAAAAATAGAAGAGAACGGAAATTAAGCATCGATAAGTAATTTATAATTCAGACGATGAAACGAATTTAACGACTGATAGTTCCCTCGAGTGATATCGCATTAAGATAACTCGTACATCATCCTTTTCAACTTACCATATGGTCTAATGCAGCCGTAACTTGAGCGAATATATGTTTTGCTTCCATTTCGGGAAATCTCCCATCTGTGGATATCCTATGGAAGAGTTCTCCTCCGTTAGCATACTCCATCACCAGATAGATTTTGGTCAAAGTTTCCACTACTTCGAACAGCCGTATTATATGAGGATGATGCAGTCCCTCCATGCTAATAATTTCCCTGCTTAACATTTTTTGTGTTTTCTGGTCGAGTTTCGATTTGTCCAAAATTTTAACCGCTACTCTCTCTGTTAAATAGAATAATTAGCATTTTAATCTTCTAATACTTTTAAATTATATAAATTATCTAAATATAGGCTTACATCCCGACTTAGCCAGATTATTCTTGATTTTTCTGACATTATTTAAGAATAAAAATAATAAAATTTTATAGACTAGTTATTTAAATATTTTACAAGAAATTTGTTTATGCATTTAAATGACTCAGTTGCGGATTTACGTAACTCTTTGTTTTAATTTATTCACCTTTACTTAAGCAATGAACGGCAGCTTTGACTTGAGAAAAATTTCCACTCCCGATGTCACCTCGAAATCTGTAAAATCCCACTCGTCTTCCTAGAGTTATCTCCTTCTGCCATTTCTCGTCGTTGTTTAGTCTTTGTAAGATCCTTTGATACGGAGTTAACTCCACTTTATCCAAAGAGGTGGACGAGGCGCTGTGATTGTCGACACTCCCCGAACTCGAACTGGTGGCCTGAGAAGTAATGGAAGGTCGCTGATCAACAAGCGGTGAAATTCGAGCTGCTGGCATCCTAGAAACGTAAAATTAATTTTTATTACAACAATAGGAGCGATCGCGATCCAGAACCGATGGTAATTTATCAGAATCGTTTTATATATGCAAATATTGGAAGATTCGTCCAATGCAGATCGATGATAAATCGCAAAAAAAGAAAAAAACTGTGCCGTATCAATTGCTGAAATTCAATAAACATCGCGTGAGAAAACTAAACTAAAACAGGATTTATGGACATAGGAAATGGAAGTGGAACTTTCCAATTTTCTAAAACTGAGAAACTTACTTTTCTCCCTTTAGTTTCCGAAAGTAAATGGAAACTTAGTTTAATCATTCAAAAGTTTTTTGTAAGTGTCGTCGATAAGAAAAGCAGATAATCGCTAAAGAATGAGACGAATATCGATATATAGCCTATATATATATATTTTTTACTTTTATAAAATAATACTTGTAAACGTTTTCTAATCTAATAAAATAAAATGAATTAAGTAAACAGATAACTCGAAATAAAATCTAACGTTAAAGTTTCAAGTTTCGAAAAGATCTAAGTTTGGTATTTTCCTTTTGTTTCAGGAATCGAAAATCAATCTTCGGAAACTTGATTTTTGAAATGTCAGATCGTCTCTACATCGCATTAAAAATTAAGAAACAAAAATCTAAAAGACTGATTCCTCTCTCTCTCTCTCTCTGTTACAATTAAATAAGCAATTACCTTTACGTAAATTTTATTTAAATAACAACAAAAATTGTTTTAAATAACTTTACAAAATACATTTCTATCAAATTACAATGTTATTTTTTCGGTCAATACAAGTTTATAAATTTAAGAAATTTTGTTTTAAATTCTGCTTCAAGGTCGACTCCATCTTTGATGGATGCTGGCTCTTCTTCTTTCTCTTTTATAACATGGAGGTTATAGAGTAGCGGCTTTGTCTCCGACGAGATCTAGATGATGGCTGTATTATATTCGTTATATATATATATAGCAATTTATATCCCATCATGAAACGTGAAGCTGAATTCTCAAACGTTATATACACTCCTTTCTTCTATTATCATAGTAATTTAATCCTGTAGAAACTACTTTATCCATTGTATAATATAAAAGTTCATAGTTTAATTTCTATTAAGTTTAAATTTCTATCAAATATTCGATAATAAAGTCAGATATAATAACAGGCGGTTAATCGTTAAGTTTTTGTAGTATCAACAGAGCGAAACCTATATTTTTCACTTGGGAGTAAACATCCGTAAGATGAAATTTCATCATAGGTCCGAGTCAATATTCTGTATCTAGCGAGACGTCCATCATATCGAATTCTTCCATTATTTATTTAAAAAAACGTAACGCATATACTTAATTAGAAAAACCTGGAGTAGATATATCGAAAAATTAGGAATAAAAACGTGATTAATTAAATGCAGCGATTGTGCATTGGTTTGTACGGTACGTGATAACGGGGACAGGAAATGTCCTAATTGACGAATTAGCCTTGGATACTTCAATATTTTGAGAGTTTGTAGCAATTAGGGATTCAAGAGTCGATCGTAAATGGGTCAGACATCGACCAGGACCTTAAAACTATATGTTAGGCTTGGGGGAAGAAAAAAAAAGAATTCGCACCTGAACCTCCCAGGGATTTTGGCAACAGAACAGCAACATTTTAAGACGTTCCCGCACATTTCTACCATATTTAACTACGGATTTATGTATATTAATTTAAGCAATAGTTGTAGGGACTAGACTAAATCACATTCCAAATGTCACGGTGCAGATGCATTTTAGTACAGTTTACCTACCGCAGTTGCTATAGAGATATCGATCACGATCCGCGAATTTCTGGCGGAAACAATTTTAAAAAAAATATAATATCATTTGTTTTACTAGGTTAACACAAATACCTTCGAATAACTAGGAATTAGCAAAATAAATCTCGTTTCAGTTTAAAAAAAACTGAAGTGCCGTTAATGATACAAGCTGCGTTAATGAGTAATAATAAACAACGAGAACGCCATAAATCCAATTTCAAATAAAATTACAGAGAGAAAGGAAATTAAATTGCATTTCGTTCTGGCAAGGAGGATGAAATCTGCAAAGCTTCTTACGTCGAGTGATGATGAATCGATGCCATCTCGTGCTTAGAGGATAAATATCCTAAGACAAGGCCTACATCCACGAGGAAGAAAAAGAAAGAACAGTTCGGTTTCGCTCTGTTTCATCCATAAAGCATTATCCTTAAAACTTATAAATGTTAAGATAGATAAATTACTATTATGATAGCGATTCGATGAGTAGAATAGTAATTTATGTAGCGAAGAAAATTTGGCATTAACTAGATGAACCTATACCTATACACGGAGTGATATATTTTATCGCTAGTATATCTTACTGTATAGGGCCTATTCTCTAGGTATTTTTTTCAAACCAGTTAAAGTATCAGAAGCGTGTAATGAATAATTAGTTCTATTTGAATTACGATATTTATAGAATAAAAGAAATTATGTTTTTTTTTGTTATAAACTTACCTTCTTTCTTGGTTTTATCTTTGATTTTTTACATCTTTTTCCTAAAAGGTCTGGACAACTTCAGGCGGTAAAAATCCATCACGTTAATAGAACTCCATGTAATCTGCAAGAGTTATTACTTTAATATAAATTTCATTTTATTTTGCAAATATTTGCTTAATTTAATTATCAAATGAAAAAAACATCTTTGCGTTCTACTACTTTGTTGATCTTTCTAAGTACCTTTGAAAAAATGTGTATCATTTTTAATTAAAAGTATAATTCAACTTATAAGCTCTCTTAAACATAAACAAATTTGCAATTTTTATTTTTATTTTTTCAGCAAATAACTCGTTAATTTCGTAAAGTAAATTGCAAAAATAGCTACAAAACGTAAAACCAAAGGGAATAAAAATAATTAAGAATTAATAGGGTGAGAAAGGGCCATTTTTCAAAGTAAAAATACCGTTAAAAGGCGTAAAATTTTTCAAATTGTGTTTAGAAACTGGGTTTAAACAGTTTAAAAAATGAAAAAAATATAAATATAAAGAAATTTAAAAAATAAAATAATTAAAGAATTTGATGGTTAATTATTGAATATTACCATTAATAAATACGTTTATAAAGTTAAAAATATACAGTAGACTGTTGATATAATAAAGAATTATGCATAAGTACTGCTATTTTTTATGTATATATATGAACCCTTGAAGCGAATGAATGAATTATAACAGGTGAAAAGTAAGGTTTAGGTACTTAAAAAGGAAAATCGGAGTTAATTAAATATTT